TGTGTGTGAATGAGGAGGCAGGTGAATGATGATGACTCAAAAAGCAGGAGTGAAGAAGCTCATGAAAGGTGCTTCCTGCTTTAATTAAGGTTTCAGTCTAATCGCTGCAGAAATGTGGCGTCCTGATTAGATCTGCTCTGTTTAAACAAAAAGCTTCTGTGCTTGAAAAATCTTTTTTTTGTGCATTTTGTGTTATTTTTGCAGCAGAATAAAAAGAATAAGATATTTTACCTCAAATAAATTGAAGGAAATTGTTAATGTAAGCATGAATTAAATGTATCAGTGTACGGACTTAAGTTTGTTTCCTTACTGTTAAAAGGAAATATCATGCTTTGTAAACTGACATAAAAAAATGCAACCCAGAAATAAAACTTTTTTTTATTAATTAATTTATTTTTTTTAAACTTTATTTGATTTCTGGCTTGAAATAAAAGGTTGTGAGAGTAAATTTTACTGTTTTCATAGACTTTGTTTTTAAGGTTATTTTTTTTGTTGTTGTTTTTTTTATTTACATTTTCAAATATTAAGTTTTCAGATCTTTTCAAAAACATTTCTGATTTTATATGTTTGAATCTTATATTTTCAAAATTATAATTTTTTATATTTTTTTTACATATTTTATATTATGTTCCTTTTTTAGACTTTGTTTAATTTCTGGCTTGAAATAAAAGGTTGTGAGAGTAAGTTTTACTGTTTTCATAGATTTTTTTTTGTTTGTTTGTTTGTTTGTTTTTTTGTTTGTTTGTTTTTTTTATTTACATTTTCTAATTTTAACCTTTCAGATCTTTTCAAAAACATTTCTGATTTTATATGTTTGAATCTTATATTTTCAAAATTATCATTTTTAATATTTTTTTTACATATTTTATATTACGTTCCTTTTTTAGACTTTGTTTAATTTCTGGCTTGAAATAAAAGGTTGTGAGAGTAAGTTTTACTGTTTTCATAGATTTTTTTTTTTTTGTTTGTTTGTTTTTTTTTTTTATTTACATTTTCTAATTTTAACCTTTCAGATCTTTTCAAAAACATTTCTTATTTTATATGTTTGAATCTTATATTTTCTAAATTATCATTTTAAATATTTTTTTTTTACATATTTTATATTAAGCTCTTTGTTTAATTTCTGCTTTACAAATTAAATTCCCAGGTCAAGTTCTGTTCACTTCAAGGCCAATACAAGAACACTCTTAATTAACTAATTAATTAACCATTAACCAATATAATTTTGTCTTCACTTCTCACCATAAAGGAAAGTCGGCCTCCAGAAATGAAGAGAATGTGATCTAGATAACGTATTTTGAAAAGAGTTCATAAAACCGAATCTGAAAAAATAAATAAAAACTGTACAAAAAATTTTGATCCTGTCAAAAGTTTACATGAAGGTTGATCTGATTGTCTATCGGCATAAATCACCCAAATCAGTCGGATTACATTTTCATTGCGATCCTACGAAACACAATCAGAATATCCCGACCGACATGTTTATGTGACACATTTTTAATAACTATTAATTTCTATCCAGTAATGGAAAGAGTTTTGGTTTCTTTTGATTCTTACTCCTTTTTATTCCACATCTACTCCATTCATCTAATGCTTTTTCCTTTAACTTACCAGCTTTAGCTTTGTAAAGCAAAAAGCTGTACATAGGTTAAAAAAGGTACACAGCTGTACATTATGAAGGTCATTATGAACCCATTGATGTGATGAAAAAAAGATAAAGCAGACAGCTCTAGTTAATCAAGCTAGAAACCACCAATCAGGGTCTGGGTGTAGTGATGGACTCAGATCTGAACCTGCAGAGGCTCATTAAAACTAGTGTTGCACCGATACCAGTATCAGGCAAAGCCCCGATCCAGCACTAAAATGGTGGTATCGGTATCGGCCACTACGAACAAATAGAGCACCGATTCCATTTTGAGAGACAAAAGTTTATTCAACTATTGTCATCTATTCCAGTTAGGCAATAAAAAGTTCTACTGGATTCACTTTGTATTAGTCTTTTTTTTTTTTCCTGCTTAACAAAGGTAGGCAGCAGCTTGATTAAGCCATGGTTGCAATTATTTTGCACCCAAGTAGTACGCAGTTTTTCATATATATATATATACACACATCAATTTAGAACAGATGATATTGGTATGGTATCGGCCAATACTGCACAGCTAGATATCGGTATTGGGGCCAAAAAATGGCATCAGCGCGACACTACTAATTATTAGACGTTACAAAACCAATACAGTCCTAAGGAAAAATTACTCTGTTCTGATTTCACAATTGTTAGAGGAACAAATCTGTTTGTTTCTAAATAAAGAAAGAGCATTGTCACTTTTGCCAATTATTCATGTTTGATGTAACATTTCTGATAGAAACGGCTACTTTAGGGTGACCATATTTTCATTTAGGAAAACCAGGACACCTTGGAGCGGGGGGGGGGGGTTGATTGAAAGAACAAATGTCTCATCATCGCAGAACAGTGGTGAAAATTGGAAGTTCAGTTTACTACAATACAACTCTGTGAATAGTTCCATCTGAAATGAATGAAAATCGTTGTTTTAATGGTTATAGAGTCAGATATGTGGCGGTAATGTTTGATTTATCTAAAGGTTTTTATCTGTTACTATGTAAATGGGTTTGGTTGTAATTTAAAGACAGATTCTAATATATCTGCAGAGTGGGAACTATAAATCTTTAATTTTTTTATTGTTGTTTTGCACAATATGCTTAACTAAGTATTTTTTGTTGTTGAATATTAGAGATTTTGCAGATATATTTTGTAGATACATTGTTTAGATTTACTTATATATTTCTAACTCTTTTATAGAATAGAATAGAAAATCCCTTTATTGTCCCACAATGGGCAAATTTACAGCAGCAAAAAGATTATTGAAAATGGTCACACAAATGTGGACCTTAGAAAAATGTATAAGAATAACATAATAGGGAAGAGTTAAAATATAAAAAAATACAATTCTGTAAAGTGTTTTAACAATATAAAACTGGAGAATAAATAACCAATATGCAGCTATGGACATTTTTACAGTGATGGATATTTGAAAATAGCAGCAACATCAGAGATGTGCAGAATGACAGCAGCAGGTTATTTAACTGACTAAGGTTTCTATCATTACATTTGATTTTATTTGTTCCTGCTCCCGGTGGTTGGAATCTTTATTCCACTCTGGATTCTCATCAGTCTTTGTTCACTTTAACTTTTTAAAAAATAAATAAATAAACAAACAGTTTTGAAAACCTCGGTATTCATTCTTTTCCTGCTTTGTGTGTCAACTTTCACGGTTGCTAAGCAACAGAGCATACGGCGCTAAAACCCGCTGAAGGGAGGACCTGTTCAAATTTACAGCCAAAACTCTTCCGGCCTCCTTATTTTCAAGGACTAAGAAGCATCCAGTCTAGGTAGACCGCGTCCTTGGAGGATGCAGCCCAGGTTTGCGAACAGAGCCTCTATTAAGAGCAGGGCTGCCCGCACTGACGCGGCTCAGGGATTACGTCACACGGAGCGTCGTGCGCAGTGAAATCAGGACATTTCCTCACTTTCTAAAAAAAAACCGGGACGCCCGGGACAGGACGTGAAATACGGATATGTCCCGGGAAATACGGACGTTTGGTCACCCTAGGCTACTTGTGCTTTTAGACTAACTTTGCCAAACACTATGGCAGTGATTACAGATTCGGCCCTGAGGACAAAGCTGCATTTCTACAGGTTTGCAAATCCAGATATTAGACATGCTAGCATTAGCATTTTGTAAAGCACATTTAGACACAGGAATATCACATAAGAAGAGTTTGAGGAAAACAGCAAAATTCAAATAAAAAAACTTTCATGTTTGTATATGGTTGTTTGTTTGTTTAAGGTTGTTTTTGACTTTTTTTTTTTAAAAATCACACTCTTATAATCGCACACCTTCAGAAGGTGAGTAGAACTCTAATAGTAGCTAAAATTATGAAATCAACGCAAGTGGCCTAAGTCCAACACATTTATTAAAACCTCACTCTATTTCTTTTCTTTACGTTAATGTGTGACGGCATTATGCTTTATACGTCCTCGACCCAACGGATGAAAACAGTGGGTGTTTCCACTGGGCCTCAAATGAACAGAATGTTTTCTCTGAAAATATAATTCCAAAAGTTTAATATTGGAGAATAAAAAGTTTTACGCAGCTGTTGTGTTCAGGCCTTAAAGATTAATGATGTATCAGCAAATACTACATAGCCAGGTATCGGGTATCAGTATCGGGGCCAAAAAATGGCATCGGCGAAACCCTAATGGAAACAGAAACAAAGTCAGGGTTCTATCATCTAAAGAACATCTCCAGGATTAAAGGACTAATGTCTCAGCAGGACCTTGATAAACTAATTCACTGGTTCATCTTTAGTAGAGTTTATTCCTTCACAGGTCTGCCTAAACAGTGGATCAGACTGATCCAGAACGCTGCTGCCTGCATCCTCACTAGAACTAAGAAAGGGCAGAATATCAGCCCAGTTCTAAAGTCCTTCCACTGGCTCCCCGTGTCTCAGAAAATAGATTTTAAAATCCCTCTGTTAGTTTTTAATTCACTGAATGGCTTAACTCCAGAATATGTTACAGACGTGCTGTCAGTGAATCAACAGCCAGACCTCTCAGGTATTCTGGATCAAATCTGATCTGCAGAACCAGACCCAAACATGGAGAAGCAGCTTTTAGTTATTATGCTCCGCTAATCTAGAATAAACTCCCAGAAAACTCTTAAGTGCTTAAAACCATAGTTGCTTTAAAGACAGTTTGTAAACATATTTCTTAAAGACGGGTCTTTGACTGAGATATCTACACATTAATAATAAAGTTTTCAGTCCAACTTTCCATTTTTTAATCCATCAGTTTATCTTCTCTATGTATGATTATCTTCTCTTAATTATTAACCTCTATTCTTTGTATTCGTGTTGTCTCTAAGTCACTGCATGTGCTTTTCTTTTTCCCTCTTTCTCATGTAAAATATTAAGAATTTTCCTACAACTGAAATATGCTATATAAATAAAGTGCATACCTCCATCATATACTGATCCACAATATGCAGCTCTGACACTGGCCCCTTGTGGGATTTATACATTTCCACATCATCTTGGGTAGGGACGTACCTAAAAATAGAAACAAACAATGTTGGTTCTTATTTTGATGCAGATATAATACTTATCTTAGAAATATTTAAATACATTTTTTTAACTAAACTAAACACAGTCCAAATGTGTGGTTGTAAACACCCTATTTACAATAGATTTTCACACATGTGAATCCCATCAAATGTAAACCAGATGTGGGTTACATTTTCTACATATGATCAAGAGTTTGGTTCATATATTCCATGTTTCATTCAACTTTCCATCACATGTGGAACTAGTGAAGGCATATTTCTCAGAAGTGAACCACATATTTAGGTTTTATTTCTTTCAATGTGAATATGATTAGGTTATGCTCTGTGTAAGGCCCTTTTAAATTAGTCATGAAGTCAAAGTACTTGTGTCTATGTATTGTTTATCGTTATGCAATTGTATGTAAGGATTCTTAAAAAGTAAATGCTGACACCGATTCAGGATATTATGTGTTCAATATGGCAACAGAAAATAAAAATTTTAAAGAAGAAATACCATGAATTTCACATTTCAATATCACATGTGAAATTCCTGTGTGAATTTGGAAAGTTTAAAAGTGCGTGTGATTCACATGTTTTCAAATCAGGATTCTCATGTTTTTCACATGTGATACACATTTGCCTCAAATGTGAACCACGTGTGCTTTTAATGTGAATTGCACATGAGAATATTCCCAATCCACATAGGTATACATGATCATTTACATGTGCATTAATATCACAGTTGATGCAAGGGTTTCACATGTGACTTTAGCATGCATATTTAAAGCTATTTTCTGCAGATTTTGTATGGCTTGTCCAAATTCCCACATATACATGTGCTTTTACATGTGCATTAATATCACATTTGATGCAAGGGTTTCACATGTGACTTGAGCATGCATATTTAATGTTATTTTTCTGCATAGTTGTATGGCTTGTCCAAATTCACACATATACATGTGCTTTTACATGTGCATTAATATCACAGTTGATGCAAGGGTTTCACATGTGACTTTAGGATGTATATTTAATGCTATTTTTCTGCATAGTTGTATGGCTTGTCCAAATTCACACATATACATGTGCTTTTACATGTGCATTAATATCACAGTTGATGCAAGGGTTTCACATGTGACTTTAGGATGTATATTTAATGCTATTTTCTACAGATTTTGTATGGCTTGTCCAAATTCCCACATATACATGTGCTTTTACATGTGCATTAATATCACATGTGATGCAAGGGTTTCACATGTGACTTTAGCATGGATATTTTACATTATTTTTCTGCATATTTTTTTATGGCCTGTCCAAATTCACACATATACATGTGCTTTTACATGTGCATTAATATCACAGGTGATGCAAGGGTTTCACATGTGACTTTAGCATGCATATTTAATGTTATTTTTCTGCATAGTTGTATGGCTTGTCCAAATTCACACATATACATGTGCTTTTACATGTGCATTAATATCACACGTGATGAAAGGGTTTTACATGTGACTTTAGGATGTATATTTAATGCTATTTTCTGCAGACTTTGTATGGCTTGTCCAAATTCACACATATACATGTGCTTTTACATGTGCATTAATATCACAGTTGATGCAAGGGTTTCACATGTGACTTTAGCATGTATATTTAATAATATTTTTCTGCATAGTTGTATGGCTTGTCCAGATGCACACATATACATGTGCTTTTACAAGTGGTATGTGGGTTTCACATGTGATTTTCAGAAGTGACATTCGTAGCAGATAAATTAAAATACGGATCATTTTTAATGTCATATGGAAGCGGCTGTTTCAACTGTTGCATTTCCGAATTCTCGTGAGTGGTGCCCGAATTTACACGAGTGAAAAAAAGTGAATGTGATTGATCGTTTATCAAGGGGGCGGGATTATTGTGGAGGAAGGTTCACAAGCCAGTTTGGTTGTGGCCGGTTTGTTGGAGCATCTTGCTAACCAGTTAGCAACTTAGTGCTGGTCGGTTCCCAATGGGAAATTCCATTGGGACCAAGTAGCACTAAATTGGTGACTTAGAAACGACACTGTCAAGGAACGCTATGGACAGCGGAAACATGCAAGAGGAGGAGAGTTTAGTGTTGGAGGTCATGGATGAGTCTCCTCCGTCATACATTTATTTATTTAGAGGAGCAAAGCGGGGACAAAGATGTTGTGGAAGAGGACGCCAGGGCGGCAGAAGCTTGGTTTGGTGTAGAAGGCTTCCAGCCTGTTTGAGCCCTTGCCTCGCAACGCTGCCAGTTCTGTCAGCTCTACGCCTGCCGAAGACGCAGACGTCCATCCCCTTGAACACTGGGACGCAACTCAATGGGAAAGGAAATGATTCTTGTTGCTTATTTCAGCGTATATTAGCTGCGAGATATGAATCGAGATGCTATGACCGAATAAATTGATTGACAGATGACCGTTGATATATGATTGGCGGAATTTAGGTGTACAAGCTGATGTATAATTAACTGGCCTGCATAAGATAACGGAAAAAATACACAGATTTTAAGACAGGATCTTTTTTTAAATAGAAATTTTCAAATTTTTGGTCTGATAAAGTTTAAGCCAGAATGATTTCACATTTAAATATGATTTCCCTACAACTTTAAGTCATATCTCTTTTTTTTCCATGTAAGAACAGAGCCTTTAATCATATTTGAATCTGACATCTGTAATGTTAAGGTTGTTTAGTGAGAAATAATTCATAAAAAAATTCCCTCTCTGTATTCAAACGACTCTTTTTTTTTTAAGGCTGCAGGCTATTAGACTGCTTTACAAAGGCCCGGAGGAATTATTCAGAGCCAAGTTAGGTTGATGGTTTTTGTCAGGATCTGTAAAGCAGCGAGACGCTGATGGGAGCTGCTGTGTATTCGCTGGCACTGAATCTGAACTCTCTCAATAGGAGTTTCTTTTCCAGTCATTTCAGTGATGTTCTGACCCCGAAACCAAACGGATTCTCCTCTCAACAAGAGAAGTCCTCCGCTGTGCCAGTGGAGCACAGCAGTGGCCATTAATATTGCAGCACCTGTTGGGAGTAGTCCCTTCCCTCGGCCTTATGCCAGGGCGCATTACAATATATATTACGTTTTCATAGAATAAATAAAATCCTTTACATCAGAGTACCTTAGATCACTTTTGCCTTACAGGAGGAAAAATGTCCCAAGCTACCAAGTAAACTGCAGGTAAGAGTCAGGAAGCGTTCCATTTCCTCTTACTGACTTATTCCTGGGGGTATGTCAATAGTTTCCATCTCCACAAATAGCCATAAATAAAACTTTTATTAGTCGGCCATTCTGATAAAAGGTTTTTTTTAGTTTAAAAGATTGTGAAAGCTCTTGTGTAAACCATGTGTCCTGTTTTCCCTTTATTCATATCTCCTAGATAAACCAGCAAACTCCATTCTTTCTTGGTTATGATTGGTGAGTTGCAAGTTTTGTTTAATGCAGATAAAAAAAAATGACAAACCCTCTCAGGCATGAGCTGATTATATCAATCAAATCTCAACTCGGTTGTAAAGAGAGGAGTTAGGGTATTGCATACTAATTAGCATGTTTTTGGCAGAAGTCGTACCTTCTTAGAGAGGTGATGTGCTCATCAGACAGGCCTCCTTCTTCCTCGTTAATAATAAACAGTTTGTCCTTCAGCTCCTCTGGTTGCACTGGGAAACTTTTGAGGAAAATGTCTGAAAGAACAACCAAGCGGAAAAAGTAAGCACACTTAAATGGACATGAAAGCTTTGCTCTCGACACAGTCCTCTTATCCAGCGATGAAACCACTAACAGAATTCAACTGTTTCAACTTTCTCGCCAATACCTCAGGTACCGGTATATGGAGGGAAGTTTGTTACAGTATTGTTCTAGTCAAAGAACACCTTTTAAGAAAGAAAATTTGAAAAGTAAAACAAATGCAAAATAGAAATTAAGCTATGAAGAAATTCTATTTTTAAAAAGTTGTTTTGAGAATTACTTGTTTTCACAAATTTTATTTTTTTGCAAATTATTTTATTTCTATTTTTTGTTATGTATTATATTTTCAAATTTCTCTTTTAAGATTGAGTTTTATTAATTTCATTATCTTCAAATTCCAGATCATATTCTCTTTACTTCTGGGGGCGGGATTTCCTCTCCAGTGAGGAGCGAAGATGCATTTCTATTGGTCTGCGTTTACGATGCAACAGCATTTTTTGGGGTCCATGTGTGCGTCATGAGCAACAGTGACTATTGACAGCTTCAGAATCTGACTAAAAAAAAGTCCAGAAGTATTAAGTTTTAGAATATCAGAGCTAAATATGGACCAGATAATTATTGCAAACTAAATGTGTCTCCCAGCATGTTGGCTTAGGTGTAAGATTTTCGGATAGCGTTTATTATGGTAATAACGAACTTCCTTTCAGGCTTAAAGTCGTAGGGAAACGGCTGTTTCAACCGTTTCATTTCCAAATTCTCCTGAGTGGTGTCCGACTTCACAAAAATGAATAAAGTGAACGTGTTTGATCGTTTATCAAGGGGGTGGGATTGTTGTGGTGGAAGGTTTGCAAGCAAGTTTGGTTGCAGCCGGTTTGTTGGAAGCATCTTGCTAACCAGTTAGCAACTTAATGCTAGTAGGTTCCCAATGCCAAATTCCATTGGGACCAAGTAGCACTAAATTGGTGACTTAGAAACGACGCTGTCAAGGAACGCTATGGACAGCGGAAACATGCAAGAGGAGGAGAGTTTAGTGTCGGAGGTCGTGGATGAGTCTCCTCCGTCATCCATTTTTTATTTAGAGGAGGAAAGTGGGGACGAAGATGTTGTGGAAGAGGACGCCAGGGCGGCAGAAGCTTGGTTTGGTGTAGAAGGCTTCCAGCCGTACATGTTTGAGCCCTTGCCTCACAATGCTGCCAGTTCTGTTAGCTCTACGCCTACCGAAGACACAGATGTCCTAACCTGACTCCGCCAGATGGATTTGCTCCGCATATCCATCTGGAAACCTTCCGTTGAAGTAATTTTGGGAAGGGGCGAAAATACTGGTAAGCTGATTGGCCAATGTTGGTGATAGACGGGCCAAATAAACCAATCAGATCAACGAAGCCTATTACGTACTAACAAAGCGACGACGAAAACACAACCACAAGCCAGGCACAAGCCAATTGATAGATCAAACTCTTGCCGAAACCAGTCGGGAGAAGGGCAAAAACATCTTTTCCTCTGAGAAAAGCCTCCAGAGCAGTGTTTTGCTCTTCTTTTAGTGAAGAAATACTCTGTAATTCCGATAAAACTTGCTCGATAGCCACGCTAACGCTAGTTTCATTGGCTGAAGCCACCATGTTCTTTAGACTGAACTGTCGCGCTTCTCGTTGCGTCACACCTCAACCCGCCTCATAGCCAACGCTGATTGGACGTTCGTTTGTAGAACGGCTCCAAATTTTCTTTAACGGAGAGTCTCCAGACTAATTTGCGAGTGAAACCTTGAAAGCTCGCGAGATCAGGATGGTCTCACGAGGCTACAGATGTCCATCCCAATGAAAACTGGGACATAACTCAATGGGAAAGTAAAACATTCCTATTTCTTATTTCAACCGTTAGCTGCTACATATGAATCAAGATGGTATGACCTAATAAATTTGATTGACAGATGACCATTGATATATGATTGGCAGAATTTAGGTGTTCAGGCTGAAGTATTAATAACTGGCCTGCAGAAGATAATGAAAAAAACACACAGATTTTAAGACAGGATTTTTTTTTTTAAATAGAAATTTCTTACTTTTGGGACAATATCGTCTGATAAAGAGCACATTTATATACATGTATTATGTCATGTATATGCATTATATACATGACATTTAAATATGACTTCCCTACGACTTTAACTTTCCTCACTGATTCAACTTATTCGGCTCAATCCAATGTATGAAACAGTTAATGAAAGTGGACTTTACTTTATTTCCCAGGAATGTTTTTGTATCCTCTAAAGCACAGTAAGAAAGATGGAAGGATGTTTGATGCTTCTAAGCCAGTTATGTCAACTGGTTTCACTAAACTAGATTGTTTAACTGCAACATAAGGTTAATGTAACTAAATAAAAGGAATCAAACTGAACTAAACTGCCATAAACAGCAAACAGCATTAACTTATACAATCTTAAGTTTATAATGCTGGGTTTTAGTGATCTTAATTTATTTATCTTTAATTACTATGTTTAAGTTTCAGTCAAGGTTAGTTGAACCAGCTGACATAACATGGTTAATTAAATTCTACATCTAATTTTTTTTCAGAGCGTAGAATACAAACTCATGACAGATTGCTAAAATAAAACTAAATTGAAACTGAATTTTATTTAGCATGTTTCTGAGTCCATGATATTCAAAGCTTGGGATTAATTCCCTCGAACGGGCAGATAAAGTCTACATGTCACATTTTTTAAATGCAGCACCTCATTATCAAACATCTGAACTATAATGTGCATTAAGCACAGTCCCGCTGCACGCCCCATCCACCTCTCCCAGCCAATTTCTAACATGTAGGTGCAAATTAAACCCTTTGTCGACTGGCACTCAGACAAACTGGGCTTTGTCCTGGTAAATTGGAGTACAGAGACAGAGAGGCTGTCCCACTGAGGGCAGGAAGCCACAGGTGTACTTTTAATTTAGCGCCGCGACATTTCCTGCCTTTATAAAGGCCGCATGCAGAGGGGTAAGTATTCGTATGAGTCAAAACAGACGTTCCAAATAGAAATACACTCTGATCATACTAATTTACACTGAAACTCACCTAATTATTAACAATAGAAAAAACTCATCCTATTTCTTTTTTTTCCCTCTTTGAGGAAACACGATTGTTTTCTGAGCTATTTAATGACATCTACACTTTCTCATCAAAGAATTATTTAAACCTAAATTAATCTTTACAAATACGTTTTCAACCACTCCTCACATTTGTACTTAAGAGGTCATTTATTTTACTATATTACTAGTGGTTCCTAGAATTTCTAAAAATAGAATGGGGGGCAGATCTTTTAGTTATCAGGCTTCTCTCCTTTGGAACCAACTACCAGTTTTAGTCCGTGAGGCAGACACCCTGTCTACTTTTAAGGCTAGGCTTAAAGCTTTCCTTTTTGATAAAGCTTATAGTTAGGGTGGCTCAGGTTATCCTGAGTTATCTCTATAGTTATGCTGCTATAGGCCTAGACTGCTGGAGGACATAGGGACCCCTATTTCATCATTCTGCTTCATTCTATCTCTATTCTCCTATTCTGCAGAATCTGTTAGTTCAGTCTCTAACGTTCTGCTGTCTCTGCTTTGCCTCGTCTGTTCCTGTTTGGCTGTGACTCCATCCTGGAAAGAAACATTAGCTGTGCTGCTTCCATCAACACCTTTGTTTATAGATGCTGGAGATCGGCCTGTTTTCCAGTGTAGTCCTGTTTCTCTGACCGTGACTGGCTGGATGTGCTCTCTTCGTCCTCTGGCATGGGAGTTTGCTCGTAACTCGTCTGCCTGGCTGTGTGTTTCATGGACGGGGCCGCCTTTTACAGCTGCTTTTTGTATCTCTGCTTCTGTCTCCTTGAACCCCAGTCGGCCTCAGCAGATGGCCGCTCACACTGAGCCTGGTTCTGCTGGAGGTTTCTTCCTGTTAAAAGGGAGTTTTTCCTCTCCACTGTCGCAACAAGCATGCTTAGTGTGAGGGATTGAATTCCAGTCAATGAGTCGATGCAATCAACTGGTTTTCCTTAGATAGAAAACTTTTAATAAATTTGACTGTATGATCTGGTTGAACTGTAAAGTGCCATGAGATGACATGTGTTGTGAATTTGGTGCTATATAAATAAACTGAATTGAATTGAATTTATTTACTGAAATTCTGATGACTTCTATTAATGAAACTAGATGGAATTATAGAATGTTAGAAAACTGATCCCGCTCAAATGTAAAGCAAATATATATATATATATATATATATATATATATATATATATATATATATATATATATATATATATATATATATATATATATAAAAATGTAAAGTGGAAAAGTTTTGATTCTAAAAAAAAACAAGCAGTCATGTCCTTTTACCTCATTGCTTTAACTTTTATACCCTCTCCCCATCAATCCAGATGAAAGCAAAAAGGGAACCTATATAGAATCAAAATGCTTTGATTTTCAATCATCTAACTGATTTAAACATTAATGTAGATGAAAGCAGACTCGGCTTTTAGAAGTGCTGGAACGTAATGTACAGCGGTCCTCACACATTCACGCAAAAACCTTCCTGGTCCTCCTGTCATCTGCTCTGTAGGTGTTGTTTTTTGGCTGGCCTGCATGGTGCTGCAGCCCTCTGAACACATGTTTAATTGGCTTAAGGATGACATGGCATTACTAAGAAGCCAGAATATAGGACCTGCTGCTTTCTTAAGCATGGTAACAAACAGTAGCCTCAGTATTTCAAACAAAATTCCTCTCTATATTTCATTTAAATATTTTATTTGATTTCTTACAAGAAACCTAAAGTTCAGTTTGCTTCTACTGTGGTATATTCTATACCTTTGGTTACTTAATTAAATATAACAAGTGCCTTGACACTTTTTTTTATTAATACCAGGCTCATGTGATGTGCATAAAATGGTATAACTTAACTAAAAAATAAACATATTAATTAGGGGCTAAGCTTTTTGAATTAAACTGTTTTAATAACCTGGTTGTGT